CTAGTATGACTTTTCCTCATCCTGTGATGAGGAAAAGTCATACTGTGATGCTCTCAAATCCATCACAGGATTTGAGAGCAACTACTCTCAAATCCTGTGATGGGCAACTTTTTGGGTTTTTAGGGGTGAACCGATTGCAGTTTTCTGACCGGTCACCGATTAACAATCCATTATAAAGCCTGACCTACCGATTCCAATTTTGGCCAATACCAATTTTTTTTTTGTCTAAAATGTTGCAAAATGTAGCAAGAAAGTTGACGAGTTGCCAACAGTGAGATGATTATTGTTAACAGCAAACATATAGACCTGATCTGGTGGGCCGGTCTGCCAGTGAAACTTCTCTCACAGCAGAGCAGAAAAATAAACCAGTTGATTTAAATACCTTTGCTGAGGTAGATAAAATCGGTAGTTAAGATCGGCTTCACATGTAAAAATCGGCCGGTCACCGATTTCCCAAAATTGGGGAAATCGGCACCGATAAATTGGTGCTATGACAACCAGTGACTTGATGTCTAGGAGTATGTTGAGCGACATCGCAGTCACAGCACACACTGTCAGCGGTCAATGCTGTACTGCAGACCATGCACTGTGCTAAGATCTGAAGAGAGAAAAAGAAATCCTAACGAAAAACATGTCAGTTTATTGAATTTGTTGTAAAATCAATAAAAATGCAAAATAAAGGCCTTCTTGTAGCATAAACTTGATCTTTGAAGTTTTCTTGAAAGCAATATGAAAATCCGATCTTGTTCTTGTGAAATCATTATCATGTCTCGTCTCGTCCTGTGAGTTTTAGGTTTTGTTACGCCCGTAATTATTTGCATGACGTGCATCAGATCAAGAGGAGTTCTTGTGATTGTGACATTAAATACGTTGACATCTCAAACATTTCAATTACTGCAGCCAAGTACACAAGTGCAGTACTTGTGTGCAAATTGTCAGAAAGGTAGATGGCACCTTGGATGGAGAGTCTTTTGGGACTGAATCCACTTGTCTTTAGGTCGTAAGATGATGTAACCATGTGTTAGACTATGTTTTCAGGTATCTTTAAAGGGACGTCTCACAGCATTAGTAAAGGGTTTTGTGTTTGACATAATTTTGTGCTTTAGCCGTTAACTTAAGATGCAACAAACCACTTAAATTTGGTGTTTTTACCTCTTTCTGCATCAGTGTCACGCATTTGAAGTTAGATATAGAGCAAAAAAGGAAATGAAATCTTATGAACACATCAAGGCTCTCATCTTTCCTCCTACTGAAACTCCGGACCGGAGCTCAGCGACGTAACCACATTTACGCGGTCCGTATATGCAGTCAAACATCAAAGAGGGTCCTCTCATGATAAAAGGCATCTGTGGTCCTGCCCAGCCTGTAGTCTGCTGCTCCCGTCTCTGCCATTCCCCTTCATCTCAAGTTCTGCCAACCTCTGCCAACCGAGCTGGACTGCAGCAGAGAGCGAGCACAGCTCCTCTTTTCTGTCTTCGACATCCGGCTTTGCACTTTTTAAGACGGCCACTCCGTCTTTACGAAACGGGGGATTTGGTTCTTCTCGTTCACAGGCGATTTTGTTAGCATTTACAAACGGTGCGACTCGAGCCTTCGCCATCTTGGCCTCGGATCAGAAACGCCCTTGTCAACATTTTACGATGCTCGGCATTGAACACAGCTGGTTTTAGATGTCTATCTTCCCGCGGCAAGCTGGGACTAGACCTCAGTAGCCTCAGGTGTGGATGAATGGCGTTTAATGATTAAAAGAGACGTCTTCCAGGTCTATGTCCAGTTGGGTTACCTGATCCTATCCAGCTTCAAGAAGACATGCACTCATGTACGTCTTTATCTCCCCCAAAATGTTCTTTTGTTTGAGCCACAATGCTCACCGTGATTGGGGCTCCAGAGAGAGGAGAGAGGGAGAAAACAACAGGCGGAGGCATTTCATAGTTAAGCTTGAGTCAGAGAAGCTGGAAGGCTAAGAGGTGGGGGGATGGGAGGACAAAGAGGGGAGGAGGCTGGCGCTCAGTACAGAGCCCTGCAGCCGAGAGTTGGAGCTTTATATAATGGCCAGGTAGTGTTCAACCTCTGCTTCCACCCCCCATCCACCACACACCTACACACACACACACACACGCACACATGCACTCACACACATCCTGCAGAGACTGCCTGGCACAACATGAGCCTCACCATCTCCCAGCCTCCAGGGATTCAGAAGAACTGCAGTACTGTTCACCTTCTCAAAACCAAATGAAAGAATTGCACAGGTTTATTTTAGCCGCGCAAGTAAACACAGAGAGCTCAGCTGTGTTTTTCTGGATAACAACAAGGCAGATATTTAGGATTTGTACTACCTGGTGATTTTTTTTTTTATTTTTATTTATATGGCTTAACAACAGGCGCAGGTGAAATGAAGTCATTGATTTTCATGATTTTTGTTTATGGCTGCAGGTTGTGTTAAGGGTGGAAACTTCCAGATTTTGTTTGTCTGAGTTTGTTTGTTTGAAGATAAAACGAAACAAACAGATTTGACCGTAATTTAGCCAAGCAGGAGAGAAAAACAGTGATTACATGTGAGTGGTTTTGGTTTGTCTTTAATTTGACTATTGTGTGTTATTATTCCACTTATTTTTTCAAAGCGAATCACATCTGCACTGATATTCCACCCTGGTCTTCTTCATTACGGGAGACCGGCCGATACCTGCAGGTGAAACCAATAGTATATTTTTTAATCTACTCTGGAAATGTCTGGAAATCAGCCACAGTCCCCATTTCCTCCACCATGAGAGAGGGTTTACTGACAATAGACTTAATATGATTTTATCATGACATAACATGATTTTTATAGTATTATTTATTTCATTTTGTATGTTTTTAATTTGATTCCAATTAGGAAATGTTTACCATTGTACCGGGAGCTCGGATAAGTTGTAGTGAAAACTTTTGACAACTATTTTTCATACACTTGAAAGTCTTTAATCATCCCATATTTGTTTATGTTTTACTTCCAACCAGCCAGATCTTCTCCTAAGCCAAAAATGTTTTTATTTGTATATTTTGTCTTTTTTAAAGACAAATTGTGACACCAGCGGTTTTGTTTCTGCTCTCGTCTAGATACCTCGATACCTGACTAATTTATTAGGAATGTTGTTTATGTTATGTAAGCCACTTAACCCTGACCTGTGAATCATTCAGATATAAATAACTCAAGGGATGGTCCAGTGTTGTGTCAATTTTGGCTTAAAAAACCCAATAATTATCTGCATGGATCGCTCAGGTTCTGATTAAAAGTTTTGAGATGTAATTTTCAGATACTGTTAATTTGTTGTAGACGGACATTAAACTTCGTCACGGTCAGTTTCATGAGTGTAATTGACAGTTTGTTGACTCAAAGTTACTCAAAGGCTTTCAGGCACTCCGGGAGAATTAGGACCGCTTCCTAATATTTACCAGAAAAAGTTTGTCTCCTTAGAACTAAATGATTAACAAATCATGTGCAGTTTAACTCTTAAGAAGTAAAAATCAAACATTTTTTTTTCTTTTTAAAAGTGAATACTTTTCCTGATTAAATAAATAATAACTGATTAAAGAAATCAGTTTCTTTTGTTTTTTAGCCACCAGTCCCCTAAAAAAAACAACCTTTGGCTCATATGATTTTGACAAAGTCTTGCTGCTTTCAGACTTCACATTCAAAACATTACAGCTGTCTGAAAGCCTAATTCTTCTTAGAAAAGCTCTATATTTAACTTTGCATGTCTTTTGTTGAAGCACACATTATGGACATTGTGTTTGCAGAATATATGTGTTCTAAAAGGCTTCTCTTTTGACAAATCCAAGCCGCAAATGGGTCATATTCTGCTCATATTTTCTTACAGTTGGAGCATTTGCCAGCAGCGTGCCTGGTAATTAGATTAACTGTTAGATCATAATCCCCAGAGTCCTGTCTCATAAAGTTATAGCTGGAGTGTTTGTTTTAGATAATTGATTGCAGTAGGAGCTCTAAAGGCAATCCACATGTTTTCATACGCAGTGATGAATGTTCGCTGCCCCCACCCTGCATGACTGCAGACGTTTTCCTGAAGGTTTTCAAGTGTAAATTCAGGGGAGTGTCGAAGGCCTGGCGTCAAAAACAAGGCGTGGTCTGGAGGCTCGCGTTTCACCGCATTACTTCTCTGTGTCGTCATGAAAGGAAGAAACTATTCGTGGTATTTTTTTGTCCCAGTAAGCGAGGGAAGCAAAAGAAATGTTTGCATTTCAACATTTTAATCATTCCCCTCGTTAAATGGTACAGGAAGTAATCATGGGTAGAACTCCCTTCGTATTTTTAAAGAGGGTTTGAACTGGAAGGCTTCCTGGTACCATTGCAGATGTTCTTTTTCACACACACACAGGGGGTAAAATATAATTGTGTTTGTGTCATATGATCGTCATGTGGCTGAGAGCTGCACTTGACGTTTTGTGCATGCATAAACCATTTGGCCGGCATATGCGATCACCGTGAGCTTAATTGTGTCCAGTAGTGGTGCGGTGTTGACCCGCTGTGTGTCGGGTCTGGAGAACGTGGCTGCAATTTGCATGCAGCTTCAACTTGAGCTCAAATACTTTGCATTGCAAGTGATATCTGAAATAATTGTTTTGTAGGGGGGAAAAAAATGAAGTGGAATCGAAAATTGTACAGGGGAAGTTGGCTGAATTTACTCTCTAATTTCAGTTCAGGCCCTGAAGGTTGACTGTCATTTAGATACAACTTGAAAAGAGAAAAACTGCAAGATTTTATGCATGCACTGAAAATTATGTGCATGCAGTAACATTACTGGTACGCTAATAGCCTCAAAGTTTCGTGGTAGTTTACACTGAGTAACATTTATAAAATATGAGACGCATGCAAAAACAGCACTGTGTGTACTGGCTGATGACATGCAAAGTTTCTCAAACTGTCCAAAGAAAAACACCCTTGTTAGGTAGACATACATGGTAAATACAACAGATGGTGAAAATATCTTAGGTATTTAACATTTTCCTCACTCTTCTGCTTGTTTCCCAACATCAATGTTTTCTCTCTGATTTCTCAGCGTTTAAGCATCTGACCCAGCCGGTGTTAAGACAAGTTTGGTTTCAGTGGCAGAGGTGTCCATCTGACTGGCCAGACAAGTTCTTCCCATCCCATATTAGGCATGTCGCAAGAAGCAGTAAGGCACTCAATCGCATGCTAAATTGAAGCGAAGTCATTTTCCATGTACATGATTTATTGTTTTTCTCTCTTTCTACCAAAAACTGGATGACAAATTGACCTTTGGACCTTTTGCTGAAGGACATTGTTGTTTACAGAGACGTCAAAACTCATTTTATTTATTTATTGTTTCTGTTGTTGAGTTTATGTTGGATATTTGAAATCTCTTCCAGTTGCAGTGTTAAATGTTCATTACAATTTAAAGTTAATTGGTCTAGGTAAATAATGACACATTTAATTCAAAATTACATTAAAAGTGTCTTTAGTTACCAAATGACACTTCATGACAAAAAGACTCCTTCATGTTCATGAGAGGTGATACTATGTCATGTTTATGACAATGTTATGTCAGTCATATGCTCATCCCATCAAATAAATTGCTACTTTTAATGGAAATGTTAACCTTTGATGTACATTTTAGCACCAATGATAAGAAAATAAAGGTAACAGGATAGTTTTCAGGCTCTGTTAGCATGACGTGTGCAAATCATTATTGTTTCCATAAGTAAAATGTTTAAAAAAAGCTTGATAAAACGAGACCCTAAATATCAGTCTGGAACAACTTCTTTCTTCTCCGAGAAATAAAATCATGACAATAGCTTGGCGCTTGCAACCTTTACCGAGGAAGATTTTCTCAGAAACCTGACTGCGATGCCAGCCAGTCGCCCGTTTCGGAGGCCACTGTGTCTCCCGTCAGATAAAACGGCCCATTCAGGACCAGTCGGCCGCTGGCCAGTTCCATCCCGTCTGCCCTCATCAAACAGGCGTCCATGCTGCCCGTTTCCTTTCATTACGGCTTCAGCACAGGCCACCGCTCCGAACTGCAGCACCGCAGCGCTGACAAGAGTGTTTTCTGTGACGGTGAGGTTTAGGTGTGTGTTAGGATGGAGATGAAGCGTGCATAACTCAGTGTAGTTGTTTGTGTGTGTGTGTTTTTAAAAAATATATAATCGGGTGTTTACAGGAATCTTGAACTGCAAGAGAAATGCAACGTTATACAACTTTGAAGAAATTTAGCTTTGGAGAACATTTTCTCAAGGTTATCTTTGTTGCAATTCTGATCCCAGCTGAATCTCCGAAACAATATCTGAGTGACCTTGTCGTGCGTTATCTGATCTGTGGGGGTTTTGGACTGAAGTCAAGGACATTCTGCTTACAAAAAAAAAAAAAAAAAATCACAAAGCTCACAACCAACACGGTGAGCTAATCATTTAGCGGGACAGAAACAGCTTTACTCGGTCGAATGCCTACTTCAGAAACACTGGGTTCGATTCAGTTTGCTTCTGTAGTTCCAGTTGACAAAGCATGTAATTTCAGGCGCTTTACAAAAAAAGTAATTTCAACTCATGCATGGAGTGACGGCATAGAGGAAAAACTTTAACAGTTCAGTGCAAGCGGCCGTCTGCCACGACCGACTGGGGGTTTGGGAAGACGTAGAAAAGAAAAGCAAAAAGTAGTTGACAATGACACCAATTGGAGCGCAGTAGGAGAAGAAACTAAACAAAAGTAAAGCGATAGCTCAGATAATCTAATCCTTAGAATTAAGCACGAGAGAGAAAGTTATTTGAACTGTCACTTTAATTGAAAAGAGAAGTTTTAAGTCGAGTGTTAAAAATGGACAGGGTGTCTTCCTCACGGACTGAGAGCTGTTTCCACATGAGAGGAGCCTGATGACTTAATGATCCAAATCTACTTGTAGAAAATCTAGTAACCAGCAGTAAACCAAAGTCCTCTCCTATGAACATACGGACATTTTAATATTATCCGATCTCCAGCTGCAGCATTTTTGGATTAGGTAATGATTAGCTGAGAACTTCCTGATTGTAAAAAATGACAGTAGTCCACCCTTGAAGAAACAAACACATGGACTAGTTTTTCAGAGTCTCTCCTTTTTGGCAACATTACATATGTGGAAGAAGGAAATCCTAGAAACCTGTTCAATATGATTTAAATGACATATGCTGGTCGAGCGGTTCTTAAAAACAAGTAATGAGATTTTGTTAAACTGTGTCACTTTTTAAATGGCTTTCTATTGTTTTACACTTTATTAATTAGTTTTATTTTGTCACCAGGATGCTGTGTATTGCAGACTTCTCTCCAGGTCCCTGTTGAAAATGAGATCTACATCTCAACTGGTTAAATAAAGGAAATAATTTTTTAAAAAAGACCAGCATATGTCATTCTGTACTTAATGATCAGAGGCCAATTTAATGCCATTCAGATCACATGGTGGACTACACAAGTTATTTTTCATCAGGTCTGGTACAAAGACAACAACAAAGAGAATTTAAAAGAAGAAAGTGTGAATAATAAATCTTTGATCCTCTCTGAGAACGAGGTGTAGATATTTTTGTAGCTTCCTACTTTCTAAATCTGCAGATGTCCTGCTGTTCATTAATACTCACATATTTAAATGTTTCTATGAAATAAGTGGTCCAAACTCTGCCTGAATTTAACTTTCTATTGTGATTGATGGAATCTCATCATTTCAATGGATGGGAATTTATTACAGGCTGTCAGGAGCTGAGCAAGATGAATCATTCAAAGTTTTTAAAAAAATTTTTTTTAGCTTATTCGTTTCCAGGAAATGACAAAACTTATAGGAAATTCGGCGTCAGGAAGACGCAGTGAGACAGAACTGTGTAAAGTCATAGACGGCCATGTCGTATACACTTGTGAGAAAATGTGATCAAACGATGAAGCAGTTCTTCATTAAGAGATTTTGATGTCTAATCTTTGGTTTGACAATCGGAATGAAACGTGCAAATTAAACAAAATAAATCGATATGAATGTTTTCTGACCCAGGAAGAAGTTAAACTGTGTCACTGTGTCACAGTCAATCTCAGTTCAAATCACCCACAGCATTTCAAAACATTTAAAGCTGGACTGTGATTAAGGAACTTCCCACTTCTTGGTTTTCAGTATGACCCTAACAAATTTACGTGCATGTTTTGGGTTCTTAACATCTTTGAGGATGTAGTTGAGTTTAACCTTTAATTTATTTACAGATTTCTCATATTTTTCTGTGACACAAGGTCTAAAATCACGTGAAATCCTTCTGTTGCAAACATTCCCATATCACAACACTTCCAATGTTTCATTATTCAACATATTTTATTCCTGGGTTTCAGAATTTGGTTTATGAAGAAAATTATCCCAGACGTCCTGGTCTTGGGTCGCCTTCCTACTGGGCTGTTTGTGATTCTGACTCTTCTTGCTTCCTCATTTCACCAAGTAAACAATCTGATATTTTCCAAATGAGCAGGGAAGAAGGCGTGACTGATGCGTTCAAGATCGCGTGGGGAAAAATGAACTTCCGACAAATGAGATGCAGGCCAACACTGGTTGCTGTGCAAGTGTAAACCCAAACAGTCCCGATGTCATTATTGAGAGCGTTCAGTGTCGCCATGATGTTCGCTCTCACTGCAGCAGTCAGAGGAACCAAACTAAATGTCTAAAACCTTCAAAATCTGCATCATGGTCGCTTGATGTGATACACCTGAGGGTAACGTTAGCCATTTTGTGTAGGGAATAATTCACCATAAATTCTTTTTTTTTTTTTTCAATTTTATTTTAGTTTTTGTTTTAAGTGGTCAATTACGTGATTATGTTTTTTTTTTTTTTTTTTTTTATTAAAACATTCATTTGCATTAGCATCTTGGTTAACCGGATTTCCCAGTTTTTCACAACTCTATAAAGTAAATAATCAGCTCTTTTAAAATATTAAATACTTGTCAATGATTGACTTCTGGTCAAACTTTTTATTTAGTTGCTGCAGCATTATCGCCATGCTCATTTCAGAAATGTTTGTTGTGGTTTTTTCCGTGTCCATCCAGACCCCCGCCATCAGCTCTCCCACCCTCTCCCTCCCTCCAGCTTTTTCACTGGAGCTGTGGAGAATTTCATTCGGTTTGGAGGCTCAGCTGCAGGCGCTCTCTTCCCCCATCCCCCACCCTCTCTCCATCCGTCATTCTCGCCAGCTCTGGACAGAAAATTATTACCCTACACACTGCTTTTCAGTCTGACAGGAGTTTGCTGAGTGTCTGCGGGTCTTAAAAACCCTTAAAAGACAAAAAAAATTAAAAATAAATTGTTCCTGGAGAAGGTCTCAGAGTCGGTTCCGAAAGCTGTGCATAATTTCACCCTCATGATGTTTGACGTAAAATGACAGGCTCTCAGCTGTCAGGAGACGTTACACAAATTGGCCATCAGGGACAAAATTATTGAGTGTCGATATTTCTGCTTGGTGGATCCATTTTTCTCGATGATGTGTTGGGACACTTTTATGCTGATTTATTTGATTAAATTGTTAGACATTCATTTACAAATTGCCTGTAAGTGGAGCAATTTTAATCTATTACATTTGAATTCTAGTTATAAATACAGAAGGATTTCACGTGTTTTATTACGTGTTCTTGTTTGGAAAAACTGTGTTTTTACTTAACACATGTTTTAGATTGTCATGTTGGGATTTATTTATTTTTTTACATAATTTGAAACATTAAATTTGCCGCTAAATGCTGTTCCCTCTCCCTTTCCTGGTAGGCGTAGAACAAAGTTGAACGAATGGAAAAAAGAAATGATGGAGAACAGTGGAAACCTTTGTGGTTGGACGTTTTCATTCGGGTTTTTATTGTCCGCAATTAATGCAAAGCCTTGATGCATTTGTCACGTTCCAGGCCAGAATTATTACATGTGAAAAAAACAAAAACAGCATTTTGTACTAGAAGAACCGCAACATGTCGTAGGAGTCTGTGGCTTTTTCGAGTGGTTCAAACCTTTAATGGCCTTTTCTGATATTTACTCACCTCAAATGTGTCAAAGAGCGTGTTTTTCTTGACAAGTTTGCTGGCAGAAACGATTAAGTTTCCAGACTTAATTCTTCACTTGCTAATTAACTGGTGAATGTGTATCAGCTAGTTTGACTCCACTTTCTCTAAACCTCCACATGTCTTCTG